CGTAAAACACAAAACAACACAAATGAAGTTCCTGTTAGACTACAAAACTATTCAGTGTGCAGGTCTTTGTGTTACAATACAAGTGTCTCTTAGTGAATGTCCTGTACTGCTCTTAAATCTCATAACATCAGCTTCTCCTTTCCCTCTTGGATGTTCTTCTGGACCCTCGGAGAAAGAGAACATCGTGAAGCAGTCCTGTCTCTCAGGCATGTCCTTTCCTAACATAAATATCAAAAAACATATTATTGCAGAACAAGTGTGTTATTTAAGAAAGAGGTGTGTTTGTTTGTTCATAAATATAATTATTTTTTTATTTGAATGTGTTTTTTTAAATCCAACAGTGTACTGCAAAGATAATCAGATTATGAATAAACCGTTCTAAATTCCTCAACATTGAAATAAATGTATTATTAAAATAATATGTAACCGTTATCAAAACTTAGTGCAACTGTAGAAGCTTGCTCTGTCCGGTTGTCTCACTGAAAGACAAAGGGTCGCAGTTCTCACTATGTTCAATAATATTTGCCTTAAATACATTGAAATGTGAAAGTTGAACAAAAAAGTGATGTTGCTTGGTAAAATGTAAATGTAACCTTTTGCTAAGAAAGTCCACTCAACATCACTGATGTGTAGGAGATCTAGTATTCAGTCATGTTTAATGGCATGTCTATCAGTGTATTAGTCATTACTTTATGCATTCTTTGTAAAGCATGAAAAAGGTGTACCTTGGAATCCGTGCTGAAGTTCTCTGCTGTGAGGACTCCAGATATGTCTCTCCTCCTCTGGTCCAGCCTGTCTGGATCACCTTAAGGACACTTTGAACAAACAGATGTAAAGTTACATGCATGGGTTACAGACTTCTTTACATGCAAACTACTTTTTATCTTCTTTTAAAAACAGGTCATAATCTTATTGTTATACTTAAGAAATTGCTGGATATCACAGTCCTTATACTGTATCAGTTTGATTGAGTATTATTGTGTAGGTCCTTTTTATTTTACTGTTTGGATGAGGTTTTCATGAGTCAGTCATATTCATTTGTTTTCATATGCCATATTCATATGTATCACACACATAGGGGTAAGACACAAACCTATTGAACAAATGCAATGCAATGGATAAGCTTAATTTCCACTGAAGTCACAGATAATGTCATATCTAATATTTAAACAAATAATTTCCTTGTCACTAAAGCATTGACTACGCTATTCATCGTCCTTAAATGCAGGAATTAAGTTACATGTTCCGTTGTACAGCCACGATAAGGCTGTTTCTCAAGTGTGATGATAATACAATTAAAAGAGGCATTGGTAATAATATTAAAAACAACAATGTTTGGGTCGTTCGTCGGATAGGCGGTTAGCTGCAATAAATAACTCCAGTTCAACAAACCATATTACAATATCTAAGGGAGCGTTATTTCTGGACCATCTTGAAATGTGACGTTCATATTTTAAAAGATACACACATTTCATTGTGAGGTTGATTTAATATACACTAAGCCTCTCTTCAACAATACGTTGACGTTAGCTAGTCTATTTTATGCTATAGTAGAGCATAGCGAATTTAAATGAACCTTAACAATGCATACAGTAACCTAAATAGCAAACTAACTATCTAACGTACAAGGATGACCTTATTTTAGCAACCTCGCACAGAAGCCTTCTAGTATACAGTAGCATCCCACTTAATGTTTTACACTCTTGGATGCTACGCATAGCATCGTTAGCACAGATGGAGCTACGATTGCTCAAATGCTAACCCAACTCTAAACATTCATTAACGTTAGCTTAATAAAAACACCAGTAACATAACATAAAGTACGCAGGGTTGACTTACCGAAGAAACTGCATTCATGGACGGTCTGTTTCAACCACAGATAAATCCTATATTTGCAGGACGAATAGTCCACCAGGAGCCAACACAACAAACACGGCCGAGTTCAAGTAGTGTTCTCCTCATGCGCTGAGCCGCTGTAGCATCACGGAGCTAGCAGTTGAGACAGAGGAGCTAGGAGCAGCAGTCCCGTGTCATGAAGGGGGAATCTACTATATACAGAAATATGTTTTGTGGATCCAGGCTAGAAACATGTTAATTTTCTGACGTTAAGTTGGACATTTTAACATAGGGTCTACGGGAATTGCTCCCATCTGCATCCATCGCCTACAGTTTGCAGCATTGGGCTTCACCGCACTGTCCCGGGGTTTGCCGCTTGGCTCTGATAGACCAGAAGTCGGTTTGATTGCATTCGGACTCGATTGCTTATCCTGTCTGAGTAGCCCGGATGAGGCTGCATCCCAATTTTTGACGTCGAATTTTATACACCGAAATATTTGACATCGAATTTTAAACACCGAAATATTTGACGTCGAATTTTTTTCACTTGAATTTTTGGGATCTGAATTTGAACATTCGAATTTTTTTAACTTGAATTTTTACATTTTTATTTCACATAGATAAATTCGGAGCAAAAAAAATTCAGATTCATGATTTTCAAAGTAATTATTTTCAATGCTATAAATTCGGTGTCTAATACAATTCGAATACTTCTGTCTCTTGTTTGCTTCCATACCTACACCGTTCCAATCTACTTAAGGTGGGAAAACAACTCTCCATTTGTGGGAGATGACAATAGAAATCCTGACATTATTATGCAGAGGACCTCCACCTCCTCACAGTTTGTAGAATTTCATCCTCGACTGGAGCTGTGAACTTGTTGACATGCAGATAGTTTCTGTTCTGCGCCCATGTATGGATAAATGTGCCATTAACAACATATTAATGCTCTCCAAAGAAGTTGTTTTTCCAAGAAAGGTATACTAAAGTTACTCAAGATAATCAACAACCCTATTTGTTTTCAGGGGGACCATAGTTTTCAGTTCAGTTGGCTAACAACGCACAATCAGGAGGGTGGTGTTTTTAAGTCTGGTTTGTTTGTCAGCAAGATAATGAAAAAAACTATTTTATGAAGCTTTGCGGAGGGTGTAGAATGGGCCAAAGGATAACCCATTAAATTGGAGGCGGATCCTAACCAGTGGGCAGATAAACTGAATATTTTTCATCTCAATAACCAATCCTATTTTCAAAATGACATACCAAAGTCATTTTGACAAAATGGAAATCAGGACACCAGTGAGGAGTCTTCATTCTTCCCATACATACATAAGGGAGGTATTTATCATTCATCTAATGCTCTGGAAGAAAATACAGTAATTCTCTACAGTTCATCCAAACTTTTAAGTTTGATTGTATTTTTGAACATTGTATTCCACATAGCACACAATAAACCCATTTACTGAGCACTTGAACTCCTGAAGACTAGACCTTTTTTTTGTTTGGGAAATAACCTTTTGTATAGATATCTGAACATAACCTGGAGTAATGTTTGCGTTGGGGCCCCAGAAGCAGGTGAGGGCCACTCTTAACAATCTCAGCTATGTCAGCAAAATCCCTCCTGTTACCATTAGCAACCAGCAGAACAGGACCCCTCATACTACCTGGGGAGACAATATGCTTGTTAGAGAGCTACATGATGGAGGAAGGAAGAGAGAGAGTGTGTATGGTGGAGGAACGGGATCATATACTGTAGGAGGAGTGAAGATGGCATTGGAAGGAGAAGAAGGAGAAGGAAGAGAGATACTGAAGCAGGAAGATGTGTCGCACAGTTTTAAAAACTGCAGGGACTTGCTTTTTTGAAAACTCTGCACAATGAAGAGAAAATCCGATGAGATAAATACACCTATTACAGTCTGGTCTGGGGGGCTTTATTTGATATTATAATCCACTCTAATGTGCTGTAGGCAAGTGAGATATGGTGGTGCAATCAGTCAACATAGCAACAGCACACAGGAGGAACCAACAGCCGTCACCTCAGGTTACTGTAGACAGGTTTTCAATATCACATTAAAAACCACCAACAAAAAGCATGTGAGGCAGATGGTTGTTCTTGTCACACCTGATATTCAGCCTGCCAAATGTTCTTCATTGAAAAGCAGTTAGGAGCCCAGAGGAACAAACCGAATCCTCATCCAGTTTGCAAATTACACAGAACCCACATTAGCCCTACACGGCGTACGGACAGAAACAAAAGGGATATATCTGCAATTTGGCAAGAAAACAAACAAACAACAAAAGAATAGGTGTTCTAACATGAGAGAAAATCAAGCTGTTATTCATTCCTTTTGTCAATGATGACCTGGTACAGGATCAAGCAAGCGCATGTGCATAAAAACACCAACCTACGGGAGAGTACTGATTCTGCTTCATGACAATCATCTTGAGAATAAGGTGCATGGTTTCCCGTAACACATGCCTGCACCTAAAGGACAGAAAAGCTTATAGGCCTTGGGGAATTTGAAAGTTGGTCCCAAGAAAGGAGATAGGACAAAAGGGTAGAGCGGCCGAGTTTCCCTTGAGCAAGGCAATGAATCCCCAAACTGCTCTAGAGGTGCTGTACTACAGTATGGCTGACTCTGCACTGAGACCCCTTTGAAATACATACATGTCTTGCGTGTATTGTCGTCCAGGATGCACATGCAATAAACACATTCCAACTTCATTTTGTAGATCTTGTCATTTAAAATGAATGCATATTGAGTAATGTGATCTTTCTATTTAACATTTTGAAAGTAAACAACTTCAGGCTAGAACTTGATTATGAAAAATGGCTATGGCATTTGTGGCTGTCCAAAACCAGAAATTCAACTGCAGGTACTTGTCTCCACAAGTGTATTCTCATCACAAAGCGACACAATCACATGCAGCTCCACAAGACTACATTATAACTAACTGAGTCTTTTCCCTGTGCAGAGAGCAAATGCAAATATAAAGCTTCCAGGAGGATACATTCTGGCTGCCGTGTTAGACTGTATCACAGCTGGAGGGACAGTGGTGAGCTTCTCTGATTTGATGACAAATCGTAGATGGTTTTGTTCTATATGTCGTCAGTGCAGTGACATATTGCTCTTACACACAGGCCAACACACAGAGGACTAGCTTACCTGCAGTATCTGGCAGCGGTCCGAGGTGCAGTCGATGTTCTCACAGGGCTGGTACATGCCAGTGTCACACAGTTGAGCAGGATCACCATGATGCTAATCCTCTCGAACCACGTATTAACAGGACTGGGGTTAAGGAGCATGGCAGCTGAGGAGAAATGCACGGCACACACATTTCAAACTGGCCTGTATGGATTGATGGATGGAGCTGAAATCAAACGCAATCTGAAAGGATTTAACATACATCAATGTTATGAATACGACACATTATCTGATAAGAATACATTTTAATAGAATTTTAAGCAGTTTGATTTAAAGATGGAAAACCAGCGTTTTTGTGTACTCATCTTAACTGACAATATAAATTTGACTGCTAACTAAAAAAACTAAAAAGCATAAGGAAAAATGAAAAAAAACAATATGAGAGATTATGATTCAAAGCAGCACGTTGCAGACTGCCTTGTAAATTATCTTCTAAACTCTTTAAGCGGCTTCATGCCTGCTAACTTAAGGCCGCAGGGTGCGTTTTGTTTTAAAACTCCCACGCAGAGTGAGTGGGTGGGGGGTTATCTCCGTGTTAACAGGATACAGTAGTCCTAAGGAAAAGGATCATTTCCTAAACAGGGAACAAAGAAACTTGAAAGGTGGGTAAACGTCTCCAGCCACGGTTTAAAATAAAGCTGCAGGATAAAAAGTGTCAATTTTCGGAACAATGTTACCACTCTGATGCCTCTTATTCTCTCAAATGCATGTTTTGAGGTTTTTTTAATCAATGTATTTTGCTGGCATTTCTTGATTATCATAGTGCTACTATATACTTGTAAAAAACCTTTTCAAAAAATGGTGTCTAATATATAGCCATTTAAATGCAGGAAAAACGATAAACATTTGTGTTATCAATTATATTATAGACATATATATATTATAACACAAGACATTTCCCATAATATGAAAGGTTTGATATGAGAAATGAAAATGATACCTTTGGAGAAATGTTGCTGCATATTGAAAAAGTTAAAAAATAAATGCTCTCCAAGATTATCTGAAAGTAAAGCACTGCTTTGTACCAAAGTGTGAAGAAGTAGAGAACCAGACGGATTCACATCAACATATCAGTTCATAGATGACTCATCCGCAGCACGTATGCAACACACCATGGCGAGTTTAGAGGTCAGGCAGCCGCCACGCTGCCAGTGAGCAATTCGTCAATGACAATGAATATGAAAAGTATTTTTCCAGCCAACATATTTTTGCTGTATGAGTCACAAAATCGGACATGACAGTAAATACTATTGCCCGCCAAGGCACACGACCCCTTTGTGATATTTACTTAAAATGATGAAAGACACCAGCATTGGCTCTGATTTGTTTAAATATCATTAGTATCTCAACCAGTGGCGGCCTAACTGAAATGAAATAGTTTGCTTAAGTTCGACTTACTCCACCCTTCATCTCTGTATTTCCAGAACCATGTCACCCTGCAGAGTGCGACACCACCCTGGTTTACCCAGACGCCCTATCCATCTTCTTTAGGAGTTAAGCATTGTAATTATTGTGTCATTTTAATGATATTTAAAGATGAATAATACTGAAAAGGCAAATTCAGATACTTAATTCATACAGTATTATTCATACGATAGTGGGGGGTATAAGTGTGGTGTTATAATCACTGTCATGCAGTCTAAAAGTCTTTAAAAGCTTTTCACCTTTTTTGATATCTTAAGCTGTCAGCTTATGTTCTTTAACTTCTAGGCTCTATCCTCTTAACTCGTACTTTTTTGTCTTTCTTTTATACTCACACAATAAGCTTTAAGTATTTTGTTCTCGTGAACTTCGCACTTGCAGAACTTGTGTCTATGGGAAATGTGTCTGTGTGGCATGTTACACTTATTATTATGAAAATTAACTTTACACGGATGATTGCAAATGCTTAATTAAAAGGAGGACAAACGCTCACACATCTTAAAAACAACTGTGGGTAACATTATTTATATCCATAAACCTGACCCAATGCAGGCTCTCTGGTAATCTTATGAAAAGCTGTATTTCTCAGACGTAAGAAGTAAGAAAGGCAAAACCAAAAGATACAGTGAAGACTTATTTGTATTTTAGGATACATTAGTTTGAGCACATTTGCCATATGGATCTTTGCATAAGCAGGCGTAAGTCAAATTGTAAAATGTTATGATCAAATAAAAAAAGTAAGATTGCAACATTCGTCCTTAATCTGCTAAATAATATGTGCATAAGCATTATTATATATATTAAAGATACTTTAAACATTCACTAAGCCAAAGACACTTTAGTATTCGAGAAAAGTCAGCATTGAAGACATTCATGAATCTCTGATCTAAAACTACATTGTGTCATTGATGCTTAGATCTTATTTTCCCTTTAAAAACAACACCAGGTAACATATTTGAGAAACACTGACCTGCACAAATAGTCTCCACGGACATCAAAACGAGGTGAAGAGAGTTAGCTATCAGCCGTGCTACATCTCATTTCAGTGGGTAACCTCTTTTTGAACCTGCCTTGCACAAAGACTTCATTTCTAATTCAACTGAATTCCTAAGGTCCAAACCCTAAACATGAAAAATACATTGATTTCAAGCTCAAGGATGTCAAGTAGACTTTTCTGTAGATGCTTCGTGCACACTATTTGCTTTTATGCAGGATACATGGTTGCAAACAATCATTGTTATTCATATTTGCATTATGTGTCCCTGCACACATGCATACTCTCCATTAATCTCCACGTCTCTCCATCCAGATGCCTCTGCTATCTCTTTAGCACTGTTCTCAAGGGGTCACAGTGAAATGGGGAGAAATCAAATCAGAGCGATGTGTGAAGAGAAATATATTTATGAAGTCTCTTTGCCTCCTCTTCCTTGTCTCCTTATAACCAACACCCCCTTCTTTGAAATAAATAGGTGTGTAAACCCCTTTGGGTTACATTGTTCTTTCTTTCCTTTCTGTAGCTCTGTCCTTTCAATACAATTACATCGTTCCTTCTACCTCTCCTTTTTTTTAGCTTTTCATTCATTCCCAGGTGTGACAGAACAAACCATGGATAATTTTGCCCTTCCAGCTAAAACAAACACTTTGGGAAGCAATATATTCCTCGACAGGCAATGATAAATCTATCAGACTTCTTGAGGTTTGACTTGTCCACCATGTGTGTGTGTGTGTGTGCGTGTGTGTGTGTGTGTGTGGTGTGTGTGTGTGTGTGTGTGTGTGTGTGTGTGTGTGTGTGTGTGTGTGTGTGTGTGGCGTTCCCACACGACAACTAGAAAACCAAAACCTGCCCTGAGGTTCTGTGTTAGCAAAGCAGGAGCAAAGAACAGAAGCATGGTGTGAACTCCGCAGAAAAGGGAGCGAGACACACTGTCTGAGTAAGAGAAGATGAAAAATGAATAGCAACAGATATACAAAGAGCATGGGAGAAGACTTGTTTGGGACTTAGCAATAAACAAACACGAGACAGGAGACAGAGCATAGACGCTATGCCACTGCACAAAACCTGTTTTGAACTTTCTCACAAAGCTCAGAGTTTAGCATACAATGATGTGCAGGGTAACTCGGGTCAAAACGCACAAACTCCACCACACTCCATCACATGCAAAACAAATCCCCCATCCCTCCCCCCCCCAAACAACCCCTAGCAGACTCCTCACCCTTCGACCCATTAACAGTATCAGCAGCATTTTCACTGTCATGTGAAGTGACTCAGCGCTGGTTTGAGTTCAGTCATACTGACCCTTTCCCTCCCCAGGGAAATGAAGCAGCGTGCGGCTGACTCACAGCCAGCTGATTCCAGAGCGCTTTTAATGTCACTCCCTAATCATGTTTAGGTGGTGCTAACTGAGTCTGACACCAAGGATGCTTTGAGGTGAGACAAAGGGAGGCATGCTGTTATCGAGCTTCAGCCTTTAATTTAATTGTGCTTTTAAAGCCATTACTCGTGTGATATTTACCCTTAAAACCATGTGTGACTGAGGAGGTTCAGTTTGCATTTGTATGCGTCTGTCTTTTTCCTTTTTAAGCATTAAACCTATTTCTCCTAATTCCTGTATGTCTAAATCTTCTTAGGATGCAGACAGAGCCTCTTGCCTCTTTCTACTCTTCTCTCATCTTATCTGTTCCCTCTTCTTCTTCTCGACGTCTCTACCTATTTTTACGCCTGTCCCTCTATGTCAATTCAGATTTCGTCATACACACGCTGTCCCTTTCAATCCTTTCCCCCCCCTATTTGGAGCTTTCCAACTTTGTCAAGCTCTCTGTCTTTCTCCTTGATAAAACATCTCAGGATCCCCAAATTGTGCCCCTGATTCTCTTTTCGTCTGTCCTTGTGATGCATTCAGGTAACAAAAAAGGCAGCGCTTAGAAGCCCAACGTGATGTTATTTTCTACACCTTGAAGGCAAACATCTTCACAAGAACTCATTATTCTAATCATTGAATTAAACATGGAGGGCTCTGGTGCATGTGTAAAACTCATTTATTACCTGAGTGCATTTCTTCTTCTGCATTTATTTTGTCCCCATGAAAATATGGTATTCTCCGCTGGCTGCAGTATCTTAACATTTTAAAGTAGCAGCCTTAGAGCTGAGATTAACCATAATGCGGTGTAGATTTAAACCTGTATGCACTACTTTTTTAAAGGTTTCCCCACATTCTATTTCAAATAACATGTGTAAAGCCTTCCAGATATTTATTTTTAGGATCAGATATAGTCCGGAATTTTAAAGATTCTTACAATTTATAACATCCGCCATTTAGGTACTGACTGTTACATATTCATCAAGTATGGATGTTTCATGTTTTTTCAATCTCAGCTTTGTAACAAGCGTTTGCTGTAACGTGCCTTGGACTGCTTCGCTAAGACGGAGCAGAAATGCAAACGGGAAGCCAAATTATTAAGAACCAAATCCTAATTCTACATGATTGCTTTAACTGCTGCAACATAGTAAAGTGTGTGTGTTTCAGTGTGGGCATTTGTATAGGCTAATCCTATAATGCAGGAAAATGTAGGAATGACTATTGCATAGCTGCACCAATCAACATTGTGTGTATTCTTGCTAATAACTGGATGACTCCATGTCTGAATTATAA